GAAATTATACCTTCAGTCAAGCAGTTTTTATCAGCAATTGGGAATTGTGAAGGCGTATCTTCTCCAGGGGGACTTAATTGAACAAGAAACAGATAAGAGAAATAAGGCTGAAAGAAACTTTGAAACATCACTTCAAATGTCTCTGACGTTTCTTTTGTGATAACATCATCATTTTTCTAAGGAAAAAAAAGCCCCAAATAATGAATTCTAAGATCGTCACTAAACATTATTATATTATTTATTTTTAAGACACAGTGCTTCCTTTGTTGCCAGGCTTCGTGAGTGGTCCGTGGCATCAGCCTAGCTCACAGCAACCTCAAACTCTGGGTAAGCAATCCTTCTGCCTTCAGACCTCCGAGTGTGGGACTCCAGGTATGCGGCCACCATGCCGGGCATCTATTTCTTCGCGTTATTATATTAGTTGCGTCAATTAATTTCTTTGTTTTATAGTAGAGATGGGGTCTCGGTTCTTGCTCAGGCTGATTTCAACTCTGACCCGAGCAAGCCTCCTGCTTGGCTCCGAGTGCTAGGTTACAGGCGTGAGCCACCGGCGCCGGGCCCAACATTGTATTTTAAATAATGGGCTTGCCTGTAATTCAAAGGAACCTTCATTTTACTGAGAAAAACTTGCTAGGATCTAGGTGGTAACCAGTATACAACCTTAGGTAAACCACACAACTTCTATGGGCCTCCTATTTCTCATCTGTAAGATAAGGGGGCAGAAGTGGATAATTTATTTCAAGGGATTTTTCCTGCTCTAAATTATTCTATGTTCTTATTTAGGTGTCATTAACATCTGAAAAAGCAATTTCATCAAAACACAAATTGTCTTTGCACACATTCACTATATGTAAAACATGGTGTTTTGTATACCTGATAAGGGACTTTAAAATATAAACATAATTGGATAGAATTATAGGAGAAGTTGACAAATCTCAAATGGCTGGGTGCAGTGGTCATGCCTGTAATTCTAGCACTCTGGAGGTTGAGGCAGGAGGTCACTTTAGTTCAGGAGTTCAAGACCAGCCTGAGCAAGGGAGCGAGCCCCATCTCAATTACCATATAATAGAAGATTTCACATACTCATTCACTCATTTATTCGATGAATATCTTTTGAGTGTCTGATGCTGGGGCTCTTCTGCTCATGGTAATAGGGCTGTGAATTAAAATAAAATCCTTCACTTTTTCAAGCTTATATTAGAAGGAGAGAGAAAAAATTTACAAATACATAAACCTAGCCGGGCATGGTGGCTCACGCCTGTAATCCTAGCACTCTGGGAGGCGAGCGGGCGGATTTGCTGAGGTAAGGAGTTCAAAACCAGCCTGAGCGAGACCCGTCTCTACTATAAATAGAAAGAAATATATTGGCAACTGTTATATATAGAAAAAATTAGCGGCATGGTCGCGCATGCCTGTAGTCCAGCTACCCGGGAGGCGAGGCAGAAGGACACTCGAGCCCAGGAGTTTGGAGTTGCTGTGAGCTAGGACGCACGGCACCTCTAGCCTGGGCAAATGCGGACTCTGTCTCAAAAAAAAAAAAAAAAAATACATAAATCTAGTAAAGCCTTGTGAAAGCACACCCAGGATGCCACAAACCTTGAGACTCTAGAACGGACATTGTGCTCCATCCACCCTCCCACCCCCACCCCCACTGCGTGTAGAATGGGGGAGATGGGAGTAAGATTCTTGTTTTGAAGTTGGGGACACAGTTGGAGGGGAAAGCCAGGCAGGAAAATGGCACAAAATCCAGAGGGGAGATAGAGTTTGAATCCTGCTTGCTCAGTAATTGCCCCACTCAACATTCCCAAACTGGGCAAACACTATGCTGGCACTATCCCGCCAGGAATTTCCTGGAATCAGTGATGCTTTTCTGGAGTCCATTCAATACAGACCCTGAATCATTCCTGTCGCTATTTAAGCTGGAGTGAACCATCTCCACTAGACGGCGCCAGACTGCGGATTCACAGGAGGAAGCAACGTCTCCAAGACTGCTGGCTCTTCTACCCATTTTTATTAATCTCACTCTGAAAGACAAGACAATTCAATCAAAGACAAAAAAGTCAGAAAAGAAGACAACAGGCTTCACTATTTCACAAATGATATGGTAGACTATATAAAAAAATCACAAAGACAACTTGTCAGAAATAATAAGTTACCATGACACACACATTTTTATGCAAAGGTTATGAGTTAAGCTTGCCTATAAAATTAGTTCTACTGGTGTTATTAGGATTTTCTTAATTGATCATTCTTTCCCCCCGCCCACACCCCAGCTCTGGTAAGGTTAGTCCAATCCTTCTTCTCCAACTTGTTCCTTACGCAATCTCTGAGGGGGTAGGGTTGGGTGGGGGAAAGGAAGAGAATAGTACCTACTCCCCAGCCCTAGAAAGAGAACAACTGCAGAATTCCACACCCAGGGCCCTGCTCATGTCCAGCTCACTTAAGGGAGGCCTGGTTAGACTCAGGGTTCACAGCAGCATTGCAGGGGCCCTGTCTCAGTATCTTCTAGGATGTCCCAGGACTGAGGCTCTAGGTAGCTCATCCTTGAGTTTTTGCTTTGAGTTGAATATAATTTTCACAGAGACACAGAGACTGTGTCATAGCCAACAAGCACGTGACCGGCTGAATACTGAAAATGAAGTTTGGGCTTTTTCTTTGTTGAGAGGCCATCGACCACGAGCTTCTGATACTCTTACATACTTGCAAAGTGTGCTGAAATCGCAAAGCCTAGACGGCACTCCCAATGCCCCAACCCGCGTGGGCCACTGCTCAGAACTGCTTGTGCAGCCGGCAGTCTGGAGAATCGGGAGATGCCTCATAGGTCCCGCACTGTGCCTGCTTCCCTCCAGACAAAGTGTGGCTGGCTCGCTGCTGCCTAAACAGCCACGGAGGTGTTAGGGCTCCTCTCCTGTGTACACCACTGCTGTGCAGCTCCACCCAGCCTCCCGCGACTCCCTGTGGGATTGGGGATTGGGGACCAGGCACAGGCTATGTTGAAACTCATGTAACTGCTCTTGCTGCCATTAATAAAGTCCTTCATCTCTGACTTATGTCAGGGATGTCATCTGCCAGCATCTGCAGGATTCTGGGAGGCTAATGTCTTAGCTAGTACAGTTACTTCAGTGGGAGCTTGCCTGCCTGCAGCTCTCTGCCACAGTAATCTGCCTCAGGGAAAAAAGGTGTGGGGAAAGTAGAGAAGGTAGGTGAAATCACACCCAGGCATCTACATAGTCTCCAAAGGGGTATAAATCCACCTCATGCTGACATCTGGTTGCACCTGAATCCAAACGTTTCCAACTTCTTCTCAACTGAGGCCTCTCAAATGGCCTCAGTCGCTGGTTTTACAGGCCTTGTGAAATCCCTGTGCTGTGTGCACCGAGAGTATTTCCAGCATTCTCCGCACAAATCAACAAGTCAGTGCTCGTACGCTGACACTGGGGGACCACAGGAGGGTACGATCACAAGCCCTTACCTCCTCCCCACACCTTCTTCCGTTGTTTCACCTGTTCAGGGGCGTGACTGTCCCCCACTACAAGCCTCCCGCTACTGAAGTCTCTAAGGGCTGCTGCCAACTGGGGGAGTGGCTTCCCCCTGGGAAGTCACCCAGACGTCCACCCAACCAAGGCATTTGCTCCCATGGGGAGAGGCTGTCCTGACAGCCATTGTGCAGAAAGATCCTTCGACACTGTAAGGTAGCATCACCTGCTGTGTACTCTTCTCTTTACCTTTCAATCTATGGCATCCTGCCCCGGTACACTACAGACAGCATGTATGTGCGTTGACGTCTTAGCAGCATTCAATGTCTTTTATTAAATCTCATTTTTAATCCACTCTTCTGCTTGGCAGAGATCCTGGCTCATAGCACCAATGGTCAATTTTTATTATAATAATAATTATTATTGTCACTGTCATCTCACTCATAGATAAGCCATAGCGTGGTACATATATGCGTGCGCACACACACACACACACACACAGAGTAACTGAAACATCTGTCTTTAGAATCTGAAATATGAGCTTTTGCATAAGGCTCCATCAACCCCCAAACTAAAAGATTTCCTTGCATATCTCAAAACTGCCGTGGGAAATACTAGTTGTGCAATATTAACCGTTTTTTCCTAAGGGAATACTCTACCAATGCTTAGAAATAAAATCTTTCTTCACTATACACATGTCTTTTGCCAAACCTGCTCGAAAAACCATTCAGTTGGAAGGTTTATTTGATCAATCTAGTTTGTGGCCAAGACACCTCCCTGTCCTGCAGTCAAAATTTAGAGTGTGTATCCTAAGCATAACTAGATCCTATTCATAAAAAGATCAATATGAATGAAACCTTAACAAAACAACTAATAATTACCACATAATCAAGATGAAAGTTATACTGTAAGCTGTCAAAATTATGTCTATATGAAAGGCACAGAAAAACAAATATTTTCATGGTCAAAATAAACAAACCAGGCTGTTTAGTTTGTTCCCTCCTCTGCAGCTAAGGAATTTATCTGGTGTGTAGTACAGCTTAGTGGTCACACAGGTTCTGGAGCCAGACTCCCTGTATTTGAATGCCGTTTCTAACCACCTACCAGCTCTGCACCCCTGGCTGGGCTATTTAACTTTTCAGGGTCTCGGTCATACCTTCTGCGGAAGAGGGGAAGTAACACTACCAGTTTCACAGGGTTGTTATGAGGGTGAATTAGATAATACAAATAAAATGGTTAGAAAATTAGATAATACAAATAAAATGATTAGAATAGTGTCTGGCACATAGATATATTTGCTAAATATTATTATTAATATTATTATTATCTGATACATGGTTTGCAGAGATGGGCTCTTACAAAGTTGTCTAGGCTTTTCTCGAACCCTTGGGCCCTAGCAGCCCCCTTGCCCTGGCCTCCCACAGTGCTGGGATTACAGGCATGAGCCACAGAGCCCCCAGTGGATTTGGTTCTCACGTCCAGCTATGCTGCAAACTGAGTTCTTTTTCTTTCACCTTTGCACAGGCACTTTCCTACCAAGGATTTTGTGATTCTGAGAGAGCACAGGATTCTGCAGAGAGTTCTGTGCATGTGGCCGGCTCCCCTGTGGGCACACCTTCCTTCTGGAGCGCTGGGTGGTGGGAAGAACTGGACAGATAACTGTGCCAGAGGCAGTCTGCTGGCTCACAGGACAAGGAATGCTCCTCTCTGAGCAGACAGGAGGCAGAGCCGCAGCATGGATCCCGTGGCCTGTGCCTTCCTCCCAACCGTGCTGAGGGCAGCCGGCCTCTAAATGTTTATGAACAGAAAAAGAAGAGTTGGAAAGGGTAGGGCAGCGGACTTTGCTCTTGTTTATAAACACTGCACTAATTGATGTGTTAGCCAAGTATTATTACTTTAATTTTTTTTTTGCAGTTTAAATCCTTCCTTAATTATTTGGGCTGCTGCCCCATCCCTTTGCAGGCAAAGCTTCCTGAAAGAACTGTCCACACAGAACTGTCCTATCCCCCTTTCTTTCCCTCCCATCCAACCTTAAAGAAAAAACAGTTGCAATGTATAAACAATTTGCATCCAATATGTGTATAGGATGTTTAATATTCAGCTTATACTAAAAGGCTTTAATGAAAACTAATACTCCCTACCCCTCCCACCATCTGCTTCCCTATCCCACTCCCAGTGAAAACCACTTTCAACTTTTATGCTGTTTCCACTGGTAACTATTTACATATTTCAAAGTTGTAGGCCTATATTGCTATTTCTTGATTAATTTCATTTCATTATTTGTTTTGAGATAGGATCTCCCTCTGTCACCTGGGCTAGAGTGCCGTGGTATCATCATAGCTCACTGCAACTTCAAACTCCTGGACTCAAATGAGCCTCCTGCCTCAGCCTCCCCAGTAGCTGGGACTACAGGCCCACAACACCATGCCTGGCTAATTTTTCTATTTTTTCTAGAGAAAGGGTCTCGCTCTTGCTCAGGCTGGTCTCGAACTCCTGATCTTGAGCAATCCTCCCGCCTCAGCCTCCCAGAGTGCTAGGATTACAGGCGTGAGCCACCACACACTGCCTTATTTGAGATTTTAAATAGGGTGGTCTGTGCAGACCTCATTGAAATGCTGAAATGTAGCCAAAGGCTCGAAGGAAACGAGGCCAGGAAGAGATTAATGCTGTTTGCAGGAAATCATTCCAGGCAAGGGAAGAGACTCAGCAAAGGCCCTTAGGTGAGAGCAGAGTTGGCATGTTCAAGGAACAGCAGGGAGTCCAGTGGAACAGAATGAGCAAGGAACAGAGATGATGAGGTATTGGGGGTGGGTTGGAGGTGGGGGAAATATCAGGGTTATGTCATTGACGTGACTATGGCTTTAACTCGGAGTTAGGTGTGGAGTCATCGCATGGTTTTGGAATAAAACAAAACTTAAAAGTTTCCTCTTACTGCTGTGCAATGAATACTATAATAGATACTATAATGGAATATGGGTAAAAATAATTAGGATATCTGGTCTTCCTAATGTAGAAATTTCAAACTTAACATGCACAAAATTGAATTTTTAAATGTTCTCCCCTAAATCTATTCTTCTCTCCACAGTCTTCCCTGTCTCAATAACTGGCTCCTCCCAGAACCTGAGGCCAGACGCCTGTGAGTCATACTCAGTTCCTGCTGTCTGTCACCTCCTTCCCCCTAAATCCACCATGACACCCTATCCTGACCCCGTGGACTCGGCATCCCTGTTCAGCTCCCTGTTCAGCACCGTGGTCTCTTGCCTGGCCTGTCACCTCTGCCTCCTAATTTATCCTGCAGCTTACACTTACTCCAATTTAATACTTTTGAAAATGCAAATCAAGTCACATCATTCTTTGCTTAAAACCTCTCAATGGGTGATGGAGAGAAACTGCTTTAACAAGTGACAGTTTTATTTGGAGTGGTGGGATTGTTTCGGAATTAGATAAAGTGGTGGCCGAACAACACTGTGCATGTGCTAAATCCTGCTGAATTATTCACTTTTAAGTGGTTAGTTTTATATTCCATGAATTTCTCCTCAACTTTTAAAAAAATCCTTTAATAGCTTGTCACTGCATTTAAATTAAAACTTTTCTTACTATATGAATTAGGTTTAGATGTGGTTGCAAGTTTTAGAAAACCCAAAGTAATAGGGACTCAAACAACATGGAAGTTCATTTCTTTCATATAAAAAAATCTGAGAGTAGCCGAGATCAGAGAGTATGCACATGGAATCACCGGGTTAAACGTACCTGCTTGAGGGGCTGCTATTCTGCAGGGACGACAAGTCGCAGGACAGCGCGGTGGCTAAAGAGAAGACAACAGCCAAGTCCAATAAGGTTCTGGCATCAAATTTGTGACAGTGACCGGATAGCCTTTACTAGAGCCACCACAGCTGCAGGGATGATGGAGGGGGCCGGAGGGGACCGTCCCCTTGCCTTCATCCCTCCTGCCATCATTCCCTCCAAAATAAATATTTTTTATTCATTTTTCAAATTTCTTTTATAAAAAGGAAAAAAATGCTGAGATGACCTTTTTAAAATAGTTCTTTGGGGGTAAAAAAGTATCAAAACAGTTCGGAAAGCAGAAGCAGCAAAGCAACAGAACTTTCTGTCTGGAGAAGGGAGAAGAGCGCTGTGGAAGCATTCCCTCGCTTCTTTTCTCTGCCACCCAAGTTCTATTTGTACTTGATGAGGCCAAACTAAACTCTTTTCCTTGTTAGGAACTGCAAGGATTTTTCCATTCTTCTTTTTTCCCAGACTGCAGTCGTCCTCCTTCCAGCAGAGCTGGTTGTCTTCAACTTTTCACCTTAATCCCATTGGATTTCTCGCCCCATTTTCTTCAGAGAATGTCATTGAAGTAACATATTTCAGTGCCAGAAGAATGAAGGAGATGTTTTAGTTGAATATTTTTATATCACTGATTCCTACTCAGTGAAGTTTGGATGCTCCACCGTAAACAAAGATTCTTTCAGACGTGTTTTCCTTAGCTAGAACTATGCATCCATCCTGCTGTCGGTGCAATGGAAGGCTTCGTGGGAAGTAGTCTCAAGGACTAAGGAATCGCCTTACTAAATGATGGCATCTCAATTTGCTTTGATTTGTTGACTGCTTATTTCCTTAACATTTCTGCAATTCTAAGCATTTCTGCCCCTGCAAAGGAAGAGCTAACTGTAGAGCAGTTCAGTGCAGGGTCTCTGGAGCCCGCTGCTTAGTCTGAGCCTGGCTGGCTTCTTCACTGTCCCTCAGTTTCCCATCCTATTGACATATGCGACTCTGCCCCTGCACATTTTAAATGCAGTGTAAGTGTGAGCTCCATGCAGGTGCAAGGTGAGCACCTGCTGACATGGATCAAATGAGAGGCAAGACCTACACCATCCTGCGGAAAAAAAAGACCAAACTCTGTAAAATAATTTTAAAAAGATTTACTTGGAGCCAAATTGGAGGACCATGACCCAGAGCCACACCCAAGAAGCCTTGAGCAAGTGGACTCACTGTAGCTGGGTCACAGTTTAGTTTTACATGTTTCAGGGAGACAGGGGTTGCAGGTAAAGTCATAAATCGATATGTGGGAGGCATACATTGGTTTGGCCTGAAAAGGTGGGCCATCTCGAAGTTGGGGGGGCTTACAGGTTAGGTGGGTTTAAAGATTCTTTGGCTTGTACTTGGTTAAAGACATGAAGGTTTGTCTAGAGGCTTAGAATGTTTTAACATAAGGAGCTATTTATCAGAGATAAGCCACCAAACATTGATTTGTTGTTTAAACTGAGGACCTGCAGGTGTGTCTTGCATAGCCTTAGGCCTGTTAATGGGTTACAAAGGAAGTCTCCAAGAAGGGAGGGGGGCATGATGAGGCCTGTCTGACCTATCCCCTCCTGGCTGGCAATTTAGTTTTGGGATATCCCTTTCACCAAGAGGGGTCCATTCAGTCAGCTGTGGGGGGGAGGGCATAAGATTTTATTTTAGTTCACAGACTTAACATAAATTTTCATTTAATTGTTCATAATCAACTGTCTCCCTCATAAGACTGTTATGAAAATCACCTTAGGTATGCCAAGAAAAATGCTTAATACAGGGTATAGTGAATATGAAACACTCAGTATGAGCTAACATTGTCCAGCAGGAAAAGCTAATAGTGAACCTAAGGAACGTATCACAGGAGAAGCTCAGGGTGCCGTAGGTGCATCTTCCAGGGCATCTAAAGTGAGTCCAGATAAATAAGGAGTTAGCCAGGTAAAAAAGGAAGGGAGAGAGTTTTTAGAAGAGAAGGCCAGAGAAGAGCCTCCTCATTTTAAACAAACTAAGTGAAGTTTAACATGGTAAGAGAGGGAGCTGTGGTCAGGGGTGGTGGCTCATGCTTGTAATCCTAGTACTCTGGGAGGCCAAGGCGGGAGGATCCCTTGAGCTCAGGAGTTCTTGCCTGAGCAAGAGTGAGACCCCCTCTCTACTGGAAAAAATATAAAAAAATTAGCTGGACAACTAAAAATAATATAGAAAAAATTAGCTGGGCATGGTGGCTCATGCCTTTAGTCCCAGCTACTTGGGAGGCTGAGGCAGGAGGATTGACTGAGCCCAGGAGTTTGAGGTTGCAGTGAGGTTGACGCCACAGCACTCTAGCCCGGGAGACTCAGTCTCCAAAAAAAAAAAAAAAAGAAGAAGGAGAAGGAGAAAAAGTGGGAGCGGGAGCTGGGAGTGGCAGGCAGAAATCGAGTCATTCATTACAGACCTTTTCAGTTATTCTCCCAGTTGTACTTCATCCTGAGAAATGGGAGAAACCGGCCCCTGTGTAGTGGGCTTTAGCAGGAGAGCGGTAAAACCAGAAGGATATTTTGGAAAACGCCTGTGGAATGGCATGGAGGGGACCAAAGCTGGAGGCAAAAGATGCCTTGGGAAGCTGTGCTGGTCCTGAGTGAGGGTGGAAGGTGGCGACCTGGGGCAGGCAGCAGATACAGGATGGAGAGACCCAGTGTCCTTCCTCAGTCGGACTGCTCTGCTGAGCATGTCATGTGTTCCGTTTGAAATATCCTCTGTCCTCATGTAGGTAAAGAGTTTACTGTGACTGTCTCTTAGGTTCACCTCCTGTCACCCAGCTTCAGAGTGTTTGCTGGTTTGGTGCTTGTCATCTCCCCCAGGAGAACAATGCTTCATCAACTGTTGCTTGAGGCTCCTACCATTAGTTTTCTGCGAGCTGCCCCCAGACGCGCCATGTGACCAGCAGGGTGGCAGAGAGGATTAGCACCGCAGTTTGCCTTCCAGAAGTTTAATGTTTACCTCACCCGGAGGAGGAGTACAAGTACTTCTTCATAAAATCCTATAATGAATCACAAACATCTTTACCACCTGACCGTACCCTATCCAACTATTTTAGAATAATTCCCTGGAAATGACTTAGGTGTTGGGGAGGAGGGAGGGTATAAACGAGCTCTTTTGTGGGAGCCCATCTCCCTCAAATTACCTCAATTACCTCACCGTCAGAATCCAATGTGACTTGGCATAATTCATGCAGAGATTGTAAATTGCGATAAGATAAATGAGTAATAAATATCTTCTTCAGATAAAGACTAAATGCCATTTTAAAGGTCATTGGCCTCAACTGTTTTTCTCATAAAAGTATTATGGGATTTGCAGAGGAAAGTATTTTATGGTTTGTTCTCATTTTTAATTTTGTCCACTAGAAGCCCTGGGCAGAACAGCCTCAGGCAAAATTTTAAGTAAAGGAGGCGAAGTTAAACAGCATTCCCCTCTTTGTTATACACCATTCTTTGCATTCTCAGCCTGCTACTGTCCTGAAAGCAAGGAAAAGAACAAGCTAATTCACAGTAAGACTTCAATACATGTTTCTTAGTGGAAGGGGGGCATGATCCCAGGGAAGCAAAGGTGATCTCAGACCCCAAGGCAAGAGGAACTTGCTGGAAAACATGGATTTGGAGTCATGAAGATAACAGAAGGCGAGCAAGTCTGGACAGAGTCCAGAACCATGAATAATCTTCCTTCTCCCCTCCTCCCCCTTGGCTCTCCCCTGTGCACTTTAGCTGCTAACTTCACAAACCTTTGAAAGCTCTGACTTGAGATCTTTAACTGTAACTATATTGCAAGTTTCCTTCCATGCCAAAAAGGCCCCTTGGCCAGAGCTAGGTTAATTGTATCATTACTTGGAACTGTGCCCACTCTGAAATAAATTTATAAATCTCTCTCTCTCTCTCTCTCTCTCTCTCTCTCTCTCTGACAACAATGTCCTCAAGTCTACACTTTAAGTTCATGGAGACTTTAGTCTTCACCCCTTTTCCCAATCTCAGCCTTTCCTAGCTTCAGGACTCTCTAGTCTAACCTGAATCCCCTTCTTCACAGAATTAATTTTCTTAGGTTTCTACTTCATGAAGATATTGTTCCACATGAGTTGTTCTCAACCTTAGCTGTTTGCTGGAATCCATCAGAGAGCTTAGAAAAAGAAAAAGAAAAAGAAAAAAAAACTGTACCTGGGACCTAGAGATTTTAATTTAATTGGTTTATGGTGCAGCTTAGGTATGAGGAATTGTGAAAGCTTTCTAGGTGTTTCTAATCCACAAGTGAGGTTAAGGACCACCAGGTACTGGAGATACAGCAATAAAAAGACAACTACAGCAGAGCTCATATCCTGTCAAGTGCAAACTCTATTCCTCTTCTGGTTATCAGCTGCCACAGTTCCTTTGCCAGCCTGTCCTCCTCCCACGGTTGCTCCTCCAGGTCTTGGTCTTAGATGGAACTGTCTACCCACTGTCTGCACAAGCGCCCAGGTGTCCTGGCACCGCTCTGCTCACAGGTAACTCTGCTGATTAGCTTCATTACAAATGTATGAGCTCCATTCTCAGTTTGCCTTTCAACACTGGCAAATTTTTACTTATCTTTTGCCAGCTCCCTACCTCATTTCTGATAGTCAGTATTTCATATCTTTCTCTTAAACTCTTATCAAGACCCTACCTCTTGGAGTCCACTTGCCCATGGCCTCTTGGCAGTGGCTCCGGGTAAGAATAATAATAATAATAAAAAGACCCTACTTCTTCATTCTCAGCTGTTAACTCAACCTCTTATTTAATAAAGAAAATAGCAGTGGTGGTGGTGACTCCCTTGGTGCTCTTCCCTCCAGCACATCACATGCCTTTCGTTGCCCCTGCTTCTTTCACTTCTTCCTCTCTTCCCCACTCTCTGCAGATGTGCTCAGCCATCTGCCTGCTCAATCTGCTTGGAATCACTCCATCCCTCTCTCTCCTTCCATGACCTATGTCTTGGAAGAATTCTCTACACCTATGGCTTCCACCTCCCTTTCTCCACTTAGCCCTCTAGAGTTGCAAGTGGACTTCTGCTGCTATCACTCTACAGCAGTTCTTTCCCTCTTCTCCAGGCTATAGCACTCAAAGAAAATTATTATTTTTATTTGGCACCTGAGGACCCTGAGCTAAAGCGTCTTTAACGCTTTAGCTGCTCCCAACCATGTCAAGAACTGAGGGGGCTTATCTTCAGCTCACCTGTTCATGACCCCCCCAGGCTGCCTCAGCATACAGGTGGGAGGGTCTACTCCACTAAGCTGCTCGGGCAAGGGACACTAATGACCTCATTGACAAGCTCAACATCTGCTTCTCTGTCCTCATCTGCTGTATAGCTGAGTTAATTGATCATGAAGATTCTTTAGTTATAATGGCCACTGTTTGGTCAAGATAATATGGAATTGGAGGCCAGAAAGTAAGGGGAGGTAAAGGCAGCTACTTTCTTTTGCCAGTTCCTTGATGAAAGCCCTGTGGCTTAGAAGAACTCTGTCATCAACAGACAAGGCCTAGGAATCCATGGTCACATTGCATGGCCAGAAATGGCCATTACTACAAGCAAAGGGTCCCAGAGGCTTAATTGGCTAAGTAATTGGTGAATTGTGACATTCAATAATTACTTGTGCAGTACTATATCCCTAGAATGATCTCACAAATCAATTCTAAGTAATGAAGATCCTAAGCACAGATTATCTGCATGTTTCCGAGGAGAGGCCATTCAGGGAGTTTTTGCATTACAAATCTTAGGATGATTTTTGGTGTGTGTGTGTGTGTGTACTTGGAATTTTCCAGGGAAACCCTGCATAACTATTTACCTTTATTTTAGTTCCTTTTCCTTCAGTTGGCTGTTACTATAAAGGTAAGGTTTGGCCTGACAAAAGAATAATTTCCCACCAAAACAGGAAGAGATAGAATGTTAACATCTTGGCATACAACTATGTATCTAAACTGTATGGCAATTGGTGTAGTGGGAGGGAGGCTGTGGTCTCTTTCTGCACACTCTTATCCCCTCCCAGCGGGGCTGGGGCTGCTGGAGTTCACTGCTTTAGAAATACCTTCCCATAAACCCACCCGCAACGGACTCCCAAAACACTCACCCCTCCACATTCATTCTCCATCCTTCTCAGCCCTGCTCTCTCCCCCTGGACACTGAACCTTCACTGACCCCATCTCCTGGGTTTCCTGCCCTTCTTGTTCGGGTCAGGCAGTAGGAAGTATCAGGAAGACACCTGGGAGTAGGTTTCACCCTCTCCCTCTCTTTGGCTACAGGTCTGAGCAGATGCATTCCTCCACCTAAGGCCACAGCTCCTACCTGGCAACACCTTTCCCAGGATTTCAGCTCTGGAAACAACTTTCCCTCCCCTTCCCCTGCTGGCCTGGATGTGATAGTGAGTTCCCCCGTCCCTGGGTCCTGCGTCATTTCTTGTTGCATCTTTACTGGCCTCTCTGACTACACCCTTTATAAATAGTCCCTTCATTTAACTCTTTTTGGTTAAACTCTCTGAATATGCTGTCTCTTCCCTGCCAAGATCTTGACTATATGAGTACATGTGTAGCTGTATGCCTATGGTTCTACATTCAGTGAATATAATTACTATTATTATTCCAGATTTTTCTCTTAACTTATTCTATTTATGTAGTTATCTACAACTTAAATTACCTAGCATGTAGGAAGGACAACGGGAAGCCAGAAGCCAGCCTGTTGGCACTGCAAGAGACAATAAAAACCGGTTCTGAGCAGATTGGCCTGTTGCCCATGAGTTGAGCTGAAAACATTTGAAAATAAATGTGAAACAAGGACATGAAGTTTCAATTTACTTCCAGATGAAATATGATCCTATTATGATAAACATAATTCTATGTTTATCTTATTTTCTCAACTGTATTGAGAACACTGAAACCAGGATTATATGCTACACCTTTGTCTTCCTTATAAAACTCAGCATATAGTAAGTGCTTGATAAATGTTTATGTGATAGATGGATGCAAAATGGGTGAGAAGCACAATTATCCAAATGTATTTGTTGAGTAGCAACAGACTGCTAATGGAGGAACGTGCAGTACACACCATGAAATAAGGTAAATTCTCTCTTTCAAAGTTAATCAGAAGAAAAGTAAATATAAAGAATGAACCCAGACCAGAGGAAGAGAGGGTTGAAAGAAGGACAAAATTAATTTATGAGAACCAGCTAGAAAAGGGCAATTACTTTCCTCTGAATCTTTAAGCATTTGATGTTAAATACCGAATGCGGACTGAGCAGTCAGAGAAACTTAATTTACGAGGATGTCGTAAAGAGATAATAAATTAATCAATGGCATATAGAAGTGCTCTGGATTCTTTTCAGTAATGCCATTAGTACAAATGCAAGGTGTTATTTCACTCTGAATTTATAGCTTGTGTATACAATATATGCTGAGGTCTGTCCAGAAAGTACCTGGCCAGGTAACTGTTCTCATTGTATTAACAATGGCTGGATACTTTCTGGACAGACCTCGTGCTTTAATGGCCACTGTCTGAAAACAAGCTTAGGAAAGTTGAAGAGGTTGAAGCGAAGTCAAAGATTTTAATCTATTATTACTCCTCTTTTATGTCTCTTTATGCCTGATCATATTATCTATCAAGAAGTTGTAAAGGTGATTGACAGAGTATTTATTACACGTTTGAGGTCATTGACTGGGTACTTCGTATGGAAAGCACGGAACTGTACAATTATTAGCTTCCCTTTGTTACAGAAAAGGTTTGGGTAAACAGGCAGACTTTGCACTCCTCGGACATTTCAGTTTATGAGTTAACAGCTGAGAAGGCAGGTCCGCAGACAGCTGGTCCTCCAGCAACATCATCCTCCTTTGCATTTGAAATTACAAAAAAAGAGTCTGTTTTAATTTGCAGTTCAAGGCCGAGTTGGAATAAGGTGATCTAATCATACGTAGTGTCCTAACAAACTGTGTGCAGGAGGGTGTTTTGCTCTTCTCACCGGAGTGAGCCTCGGGAAACTGGCAAGTTCAGGCAGCGCCGCCCTGGCGAGTCTCTCTGGGAATCAATCGCTGTCAACATGCAGTTCTCCTTTCACTGCGGCTGCTGAGTCCTGCGAGGCGTGCGTCTCCCTGTCTCCAGGGGACCCTCAGAACTGTATCTGCCACGTCTCATGCGGCCCCAACGCTGACCCCTTTATAGTGGATGTGAGGATCATACAGTGAAAACAAAAAATCTCAAAGTGAGCCAGTCAAGCACACATAGAATGCCCGAGGTTAGCACAGCCCTCACTTCCGGTTCAAGCCCCATGTTTCAACCAAGCAGCTCCCCCTGAGTGGCGGGCATCTGTACTGTTCTCTCTGACCACCCATCCCATCCACACGTGCATGTCGTCCCTACAGACCCTCTCTGCTCTTGGTCAGCAGAGCATGGCCCTCCAACCGCTGCGCCTACTGGAATCTCTCTGTCTTCCCCAAGAAGAACTGCTCAGTACTTTTTAACCTTTTTCCTCCTGCCCCTCTTCCCACATTTGTCACAGTTCTCACATATATCTAAGTGGAGGAGGTTAGTCTTTAGACTCTGGGAGAGGAAGGGGGAAGGGCAGGCATCTTCACAGTAATTTGGCCTCCAAATATGGAAAAGCAAATATAAACTGAGACTACGCTCGCTGCCAAGATTATCCTCCTCTTGACAGGTCTGAACTTTATCAGGCTAAATACGTTACCGCTCCATCCCAGCCTTGAGTCACAGTACCTGTGACCCCTCCCATGGCCTCAGCTTCTAGCAAGACTGTCAGCTCCAGAAAAGGTAGAGGGAGGGTTCAAAGGGAAAACCTTCCCTATCCACTGACATGCTTACCCTGCCCCCAGACGCTGCTTTCCATGATGCTCTGTTTCCTCTGATCCCCCCAACTCTACCTATTGCTCCCTAACCCTTCTCACGCATCGCTGGAATCCCTAGTGTAGGATCACAAGCTCGCCCGCAGACTCAAGCCAGACACCAAAAGACAAATGTTGTATGATCTCACTTACATGGAATCTAGACAAGTCAAACTCATAGAAACAGAGAGTAGAATGGTGGTTGCAGGGGCTGAGGGTGGGAGAAATGGGGAGATGTCGATCAAAGGGTATAAATGTCCAGTGGTAAGATGAACCAGTTCAGGAATCTGATCTCTACGGCATGAGTGGTGATGAATATGTTTGATTGTGATCATCATTACACAATGTGTACATGTGTCAAGTCACATTGTACACTTTGTCTACAGTCTTGATTTGTCAATTAAGTATTTTAAAATAAGAAATAATAATGTCACTACTTGATCTCTTATGCTTCCACATTCTTCCACCTGTCACCCCTAGTTCATGTGTTCTGCAGTGTCTTCAGGATCCCTAAGCCATAGATCCTCTTTTCCTTTATTGATCAGCCTCTTCCTCAATCTGGTTCTCACCCTGACATCATTTGTTCCCTTGTCCATTGTGTCACTGACGTTACCCTGGACTCCCTCTTGCCTTTGTCACTCTATTTCATCCACGTCCCCACTCTCTGTGCCCTGCCCGGTGGCTGAGAGCGGCTGGAGAAAGCGCTCTGGGGATGACTCCACTTTGGCCTTCAGTGCCACTGTCAATTTTACAAAGTTTCTCTGGTCAGTTCTCATTCTTACTGTCCAGAATGGTTACTTCAAACTGTTTCCATTATTTCTACAACTTCCCATCTGTTCCACTTCCTTATTCTCAGTTGATGATGTCAACTTGTGGTTGAAAGAATGGGCGCCCAAAGTTGTCCACACCCAAATCCCTGAAATGTAAGAAGGCATTGTATTACATGGCCAAGGGGACTTTGAAGGTGTAATTAAGATTATGGACTTTATGAGTCTGAATTTGGTAGCTTAAAAAAAAAAAATAAAGAAATAAGAAAACAAAAAGATTATGGACTTTAAAATGGCAAGATTAGCCTGGATTATCCAGGTGGGCCCAATTTAATGACATGAACCCTTAAAAGCAGAGAATGTTCTCCAGCCAAGGCAGAGGGCCATGGCAGAAGTCAGAAAGATTCCCAGTGTGAGAGGATTTCACACACTGTTACAGGTTCTGGAAGATGCCTCTAGGAGCTACAGGTGTTCCCCAGCTAACAGCCGGCAAGGTATTAGGAACCTTGGTCCCGCAGCTGGAAGCAGCTGGATTCTGCTAACCACCAAAATGGGTCTAGATACTCACCAGAGCCTCCTGAGATGGGCCCAGCTGGCCAGCCAGCACCTTGACTTCAGCCTTGGGAAAACTGGAGATGAGAAGCCAGCGGAGAAGTCTGTGGAACTTGTGACTTGCAGAACTGTGCAATACCACACTTGTGTTGGGCCAGCCTGGTAAGTTTGGGATCACTTGTTACAGCAGCAATTAAAAACTTATACTGGCCGGGCGCTGTGGCTCACGCCTGTAATCCTAGCTCTTGGGAGGCCGAGGCGGGCGGATTGCTCAAGGTCAGGAGTTCAAAACCAGCCTGAGCAAGAGCGAGACCCCGTCTCTACTATAAATAGAAAGAAATTAATTGGCCAACTGATATATATATAAAAAATTAGCCGGGCATGGTGGCGCATGCCTGTAGTCCCAGCTACCCGGGAGGCTGAGGCAGAAGGATCACTCGAGCCCAGGAGTTTGAGGTTGCTGTGAGCTAGGCTGACGCCACGGCACTCACTCTAGCCTGGGCAACAGTTGTTCTAAGAAAAAAAAAAAAAAAAAAAAAAAAAAAAAAAAAAAACTTATACGTACTTCCTAACTAGCAGAAAAATGGGGATACAGAAAGGAACTTTTCAGCTTTCTACAAGCAGCCTACAATCACAGCTGCACCACTCTCAAGCTTTTTTCTCTCTCCTTTTCCCTCTTGTTGTATTGGAGCTTTTCCTTCCCATCTCCTCGATGGTTGCTTCCCTCTGTGTTCTGGATATTATCCCTTCCTGATGTGTCTATTGACTGTCTTCCCCCTTGTCTCTCTCCACGTCACCTGCTTCGCCAAGTCCTTCCCATCAGCATCTAGTCATGGGCAAAACACTCCCACAACCCTCCCATTTCCCTCTCTCCTTACTTCCACAGATAGTCGTTCACACCGTCATCTTCATTTTATCACACGCCTGCTCTGACCAGGGAGAAGCCAAGCCAAGGAGGCTTAGTATAGACCCATTCTAGATACTACTGAGATATTTGTTCCACATTTATTCTGTGAGAATGGCAAGTAATGGATTTTTTGTTAACAAAAATGTGTACTAAAACAGAAGTTCATCTACAAACTCATACTGGACACAAGAGAAACACTATTGAGAGAAAGGGAGAGGTAAAATATTCCCCACTTCTCTGTTTATGTTCTCACTTTGGTTTTAATTTGCTAGTTTCAAAACCAAGTAACTTCTTGATTATATATGTGAGTACATATATAATAGCTCTGAAATATAATAAATGTATAATTCACTTTTAGTATATTCAGAGCTGTGTGACTATATTAGTTTGCTAAGGCTTCCATCGTAAAACACCACAGGCTGGGTCGCTCAACAACTGCAGTTTATTTTCTCACAGTTTGGACATTAGACGCACAAGATCAAGGAGTCAGCAGGCTGGGTTCTCCCGCAGCCTCTCCTTGACCTGCACACGGGTGTCTTCTTGGTGTGTCCTCACACGGTCTCTTCCCTGTTCACGCATCCTTGGTGTCTCGGTGTGTCCAAATTTCCTCTTCTTATAAGGACATCAGCCAGATTGGTTCAGGCCCACCCAAACAGCCTCATTGTAACTTAATACAGTCACATTCTCAGTACCGGGTTTGGGGCTTCAACATATGAATTTGGCGAGGCTGTGGGGTATGTATTCAGCCCATAAGAGTAACCCTCCAGCAGTCTGCAGACACAGCTGTGTCACTCCCTTGCTTTTCTCTTTCCTTTCCCCATCTTGCATGGGAGGGGTTGCTCCTTTTCATGGCTCCTGCCTGTGTTCTTAGATACTGTTTCCTCCTATCTGCTCATGAGCTTCCACTCTTATCATCCTCTCCCAGTCTCTATCCTTATCTCCCTCACTGATTCCTTCCCATCAACATTTAATCAATTCTAGAACATTTTCATCACCCCAGAAAGAAACCCTGTACCATTAGCATCCAGGAAGCCAACTCACTGCCCCTACTGAACTGGCTGTTTCTCACCCAACTCCACCAGGGCTCCACCCCCAAGGCACAGCCAAACTTTCTCTGGTTAAGGCCAAAGACCTCCATGTCACCAAATCCACTGGCTTTTTTTTTTTTCCCCAAACACAGACCCTGTTCCTGTACAAAGGACATTTTTTAGTCTATATGTTACTTGCTGTCTCAGGAGAGTTTGATATAAATGACCATCCCATCTTTTGCAAAAAAGAAACTTTTCCTGGACACCTCATTCTCCTGGTTTTCTTCCTTGCTTGTGTATTTTCAGTCTCACCTGCTGTGCCTTCCCCTTTACCTAACCTACAATGCTGGGTTCTCCCTTGGGTCTCCTCTCACTCTGTGCTTTTTCCAGCCATCCTATTTTTACATGGTTGCCATATTATATCCTGACTATTCTCAGATGTGGATCTCCAGCCCATGCCTCTTTTCTGAGTTCCAGACCAGTATCATCTGCTCAGTTTGCATCTCCATTTGTACATCTCACATCTCAAACTCATCAGGTGTAAAACTTAAAACTCATCATCTTCTCCCACAAACCTGCTGCTATTTAAGCACTCCCCATTTTGGCAAAGGGCACCACCATCCACCAAAGTGCTCAAAGAAATCAAAACAGTAGGAGTCACCTTTGGCTCCATCCCCATATTCAACTGATCTGCAGATCCTTCCAATCCATACTCTTCCTCCATTCCCAAACCCAGAACACTGCCGTCGTGCACCTGGACGGCTGCAAAGCTGCGTGTCTCCCTGGTCTAAAAGTAACACGGACAATACTATTAATAAGCTGTGGCACATGACACAACTTATTTACTTTTCTGAAAACCCAGAATGCTTTTATTTAATATAGGACATTTGTATACATAGCATAATAGATACTAACTATAAAGAAAACAGTGTAATAGTTTTCATTAATAGAAAACTGTAAAATGATTGTACTAAACTGCTCTTAAATTAATAGGCTACTAGATTTTGGAGACATTAAATTTGAAACACGTGCACGAATGTACACACACAGACACACACAGACACACAGACACACACACATCTTTTGGCCCATCATGGAGCCACTAATATAATGCTCGGGAGGAAAAAGCTTATGATATAGTGCTAAATTTTAAAAAATCAGAAGGAGACTCATATATAACGGTTATATTTTTTATTTATTTGCTGGTTGCCCTATATTATGTTTTTTGTTGTTGTTGTTTTGTTTTTTGAGACAGAGTCTCACTTTGCTGCCCAGGCTAGAGTGAGTGCCGTGGCGTCAGCCTAGCTCACAGCAACCTCAAACTCCTGGGCTCAAGCGATCCTGTTGCCTCAGCCTCCCGAGTAGCTGGGACTACAGGCATGCGCCACCATGCCCGGCTAATTTTTTCTATATATATTAGCTGGCCAATTAATTTCTTCCTATTTATAGTAGAGACAGGGTCTTGTTCTTGCTCAGTCTGGTTTCGAACTCCTGACCTTGAGCGATCCTCCTGCCTTGGCCTCCCAGAGTGCTAGGATTACAGGCCTGAGCCACTATGCCTGGCCACTCTATATTATGTTAACATAATATTACTTTGCTTTTTCGATAAAGTTTAAAATAAACATTTTTTTAAAAAAGAGTATTGTTAATCAAAAGAGTTCCTTAAGTTATGCAACTTATGGAATGGTGGTCAAAGTATGAACTTTGAAGGCAAAATGTCTTGGATTTATATCCTAATGACGCTATTTACTTGAGTGTGATCTTGGGTAAATGACAATCTTGCTTCTCTTTGGTTTCCTCTTACGTGGTGGATGTTATTATAAGTATCTACCTCAGAAGGTGGCTGAAAAGATTAAATGAGAATATAGTTAAAATAATTTGCATAGTGCTTGGCATACAGTAAGTACTCAATAAATGATAGGTGTTTGCTCTTTGGATGGGCCTGGCATAAGGTGAATATCTAAAACCCCGAATCCAGAGGGTCTGTAGCCTTAACGCCCAGTTGTTTGGGTGGTTTTCTCTCTTCACCTAGACAGGAAGCTACCTGATGGCATGGACTCATTATATTACTGGCTTCCGAGTTCCAATATTGCTTGTACTGTTTTTAATTACAAAAGTAATGGAGGCTCCTTCACACATTCTGCCCTGTATCTCACTGCCAAGAAGTAATATATAGGTTGATTATGGATTTTTGGGAGAGAGGAATATTTATTTCATAACAATGGTGTATAAATATGATTTCTGCTTATATTTTTCACTTGACAAGGGCAGTTTTCTAAATCAGAGCCTAGGGAACTATTTTATTCTTTTAAATTGGCTACATAGTATCCCCTAACATAGAGTGTTCTCATTATCAGTTTATTCTTAAAGCTTGCTCATTTGTTCATTGATTTATTCACTCACTCAATGATTACATGCCAGGCACTATGTTGGATCCTGGGAAAAGTATAAATAATGCTACAATAAACATCCTCATGAAAAATTTTTATAAAAAGCCATTTCCCATTGCTGAGACATTATTTTATTTATTTTTTTGAGACACAGTCTCACTCTGTTGCCCGGGCTAGAGTGCCATGGCATCAGCCTAGCTCACAGCAACCTCAAACTCCTGGGTCAAGCAACACCTCTGCCTCAGCCTCCCGAGTAGCTGGGACTACAGGCATGCACCACCATGCCAAGCTAATTTTTTCTATATATATTAGCTGGCCAATTAATTTCTTTCTATTTATAGTAGAGACGGGGTCTCACTCTTGCTCAGAGCTGGTTTCGAACTCCTGACCTTGAGCGATCCTCCTGCCTCGGCCTCCCAGAGTGCTAGGATTATAGGCGTGAGCCACCACGCCCGGCCGAGACATATGTTTATTTAAGGTACACTTGGTGATTCTTAAACAACCATGGCACAAAGTAGCAACTCAGGCCAGGCGCGGTGGCTCACGCCTGTAATCCTAGCACTCTGGGAGGCCAAGGCGGGCGGATCACCCAAGGTCAGGAGTTTGAAACCAGCCTGAGCAAGAGACCCTGTCTTTACAAAAGACAGAAAGAAATTAATTGGCCAACTAAAAATATATAGAAAAAATTAGCTGGGCATGGTGGCGCATGCCTGTAGTCCCAGGTACTTGGGAGGCTGAGGCACATGGCACATCTTATTTACTTTTCTGAAAACCCAGAATGCTTTTCTTTAATATAGGACAAGGATCACTTGAGCCCAGGAGTTTGAGGTTGCTGTGAGGTAGGGCTGACACCAGGGCACTTGAGCCCAGGCAACAGAGTGAGACTGTGTCCAAAAAAAAAAAAAAAAAAAAGACAAAGTAGCAACCAGGCGCTGTAATCCTAGCACTCTGGGAGGCAGAGGCAGATTGCTCAAGGTCCTCAAGGTCAGGAGTTCTAAACCAGCCTGAGCAAGGGCAAGATCCGTCTCTACTATAAATAGAAAGAAATTAATTGACCAACTGATATATATAGAAAACATTAGCCGGGCATGGTGGCACACGCCTGTAGTCCCAGCCACTCGGGAGGCTGAGGCAGAAGGATCGCTTGAGCCCAGGAGTTTGAGGTTTCTGTGAGCTAGGCGGATGCCATGGCACTCTAGCCTGGGCAACAAAGCGAGACTCTGTCTCAAAAAAAAAAAAAAAAAACACAAAGTAGCAACTCAATAAAAATGTGCTAGTCTGTTTAGGCATGTTCAGAGCAGGAGTAGTTACGTGGGGATAAGAACCACAGATGTTTTCCTAACTTCAGTATTTTTTATCAAACAAAAGAAATATCTGTAAAACTTGATTTACAGTAATACGCTGGCTTAGAGAAAACAATTGGCAAGAACATATTATAATTACCTGTCAGCCCTTTTTTCTCCCTTAGAGCATTCAGCACCGTTATTTTTGAAAGGTGACAAATTACAAATTTAGGCAACTTTGATATAGTGTAAGAACAAAAAGTACAGTGAAAAAACAAAAGGCAAAAAGAACACCTCTTTCTGTGAGAGGGATGTCACTATCTTTCAAAACATAGATATTAAAATGAATCATTTGCTTTTTCACAAGCAAATTCCTCTGACAAGGAGTGGATTGAAAAATTCCTTGCAATGCATTCACAATTATGCTTTTATATTTACTTGAGAATATTTAAATAGTGTAATAAAACGACCTAATTATTTATTTCACAATATTTAAACTTAGCCTCAATAGGAACCACAAATTCAAAACTACCCATTGGAGCCACAGGGCTTGTGTCGCGCAACAGTGCAGTCAGGACTTGCAGGCTTTGGAGATTTTTTTTTTTTTTCTTTTGAGACAAAGTCTCACTTTGTTGCCCAAGCTAGAGTGCCCTGGCCTCACAGCACATCCAACTCCTGGATTCAAGCGATCCCTCTGCCTCAGCCTCCTGAGTAGCTGGGACTACAGGCATGCGCCACCATGCCCGGCTAATTTTTTCTATATATTTGTAGTTGTCCAGCTAATGTATTTCTATTTCTTTAGTAGAAATGGGGTCTCGCTCTTGTTCAGGCTGGTCTCAAACTCCTGACCTCGAGCGATCCTCCTGCCTTGGCATCCCAGAGTGTTAGGATTACAGGTGTGAGCCACCTGTTTGGAGCTTTTTGATTTTATCCATGTATGTGGGCCAAAAATCCCATGATAACATCTTTTGAGATCTGTAGAAAATTTTATTTATACACATCATAATGTCCAAATATTTGGGTCATAAAGTAGAGACATAAATAGAATATTCACCCAAACTTGCCTGTGTACAGCTACACATTTGAATTTGGTCACTCTGTTACCAATGGACAGGACACCAAAACTTCTGAATGAGACCTGTGATGGTCCATAAAAACTGTTAATTTGAATTTCCATTTACTTTGCATCCGCAAACCAATCCATTTGCTATTGCCTTTTGGGCAAAATGCCTGGGCTTTGTAAAATTGAAAAGAAGCTCCTTATTGAAAAGGAAAAATAAACACAAGGTGAATACATTTCAACAGGCGTTGTCTTCTGGGTTCTTACCTTTCTGTAGCTTTCAATGGGTGCTTTTTCCACCACAGCGACGTTGAGCCTTTGGTTAATTTCAGGAGCATTTTCATTTGGGGGAAATTGTGATAACATGTTACAGTTATTGGTTGGGGGTTGCCCTGTGTGTTCTTTTCTGTTGCCATCGTGTTTAATAACCACACATTATTTGACCCACATGATGGGCGCTAGGCAGCCGCCGTTGCCTCTCACTCCTGCTGATGACGGAGAAGCGCCCAAAGCCACTGCGAACCCTAAACATAGTCACCCTGTCCACAAGGGGAATGAACATAAATCATTTCTTTAATTAATTACAGATCTGTCCAAAGCCCCTCAGCCTGGCCATTCCTAGTCAGCTCTCTGAGGTCGCCACCATTTACTTTGAGAACTGCCCGGCAGGTGTGCGGGCAGCAGCTCCAGGAAAACGCGGCGCGGGCCGTGGTCGAGAGCGCAGCCCCTTCAGAAGACAGGACCGCCGCGGCCCGGGCCGGCACGGCCGCCTGCTGTCCCCACAGCTGCGAAAACGCGCAGGCTTCAGCTAAGCCAAGGACTGCTCTGGCCCCCGTATCTCGGTTCCGGTTTCTTATCCCTGAAGAGAAGCGAATCAATGGACAGGACAGATGCCACGCCGGCTGGGCGCGCAGGGACAGGGACCTCAGCCTCCTCCTCGCCGCTGCTCCTGCTCGCACCTGGCGGCCCCGTGCGGCGGTGACTCACCTCGCCGGGCCGCGCCGCGGGCTTCGGAACCCGCTGTGCGCGGCGACTCTGCGCGGGGCCGAGCCGGTCCCGTCCGGCCAGGAAGCAGCGTCCGAGACCCGCGGGCCGCGGGGTGGGGGTCCCTGCCAGCCCCAGCCCTGAAAGTTGCAGGGAGTGGCGCGGGCTCGCCCAGGCCGACCTGTCCCCGCGCCGGGAGGTCCGCCCCGGCCCTGCGCCTTTCCGCCCGGAGCCGCCCTGCGCCCGCCAAGCCCCTCCTCCCGCACCTCGGCCGGAGCGGGGCCGGCGGCTGTTCCTCCGCGAGTCGCGCCGGCGCCCAGCTCCGCTCTGCGCCGCGACCAGACGGCGGCGTGAGTCACGGGCGGGCGCGGCGGGAAGGGGAGGGAGGGGAGGGCGCGGCCGCGGCCGCGGGGAGACCGCCCTGGCGCCCAGCCCGCGCGCCGCAGCCCCGCCGACTGCGCTCGGCGGCGGCGCGGACCGGCGCGCGGTCCCGGCGGAGAACTTTCCGGCGTCCGGCCGGGGGGGCGCGGGCCTGCCCGAGCGAGTGCGGGCGGAGCGGCGGGCGGTGGCGGCGGGCGCGGGCCTGCCCGGAGCCAGTGCGGGCGGAGCGGCGGGCGGTGGGCGTGGGCGGCGAGCGCGGGCCTGCCCGAGCGAGTGCGGGCGGAGCGGTGGGCGCGGCGCGGCCCTGCCGAGCCATGCGGGGCGGAGCGGCGGCGGTGGGCGGCGCCGGCCCTGCCCGAGCGAGTGCGGGCGAGCGGTGAGCGGCCGGGCCGCTGCCCAGAGCCAGTGCGGGGGCGAGCGGCGGGCGGCGCGCGCGGGCTGCCCGAGCGAGTGCGGCGGAGCGGCGCGGGCAGCGGCGGCCGGGCCGGTGCCGGGCGTGGCGGCGCCGCCGTGGGTCCTCGGTGGTGGCCGCGTTGCGGGGCGGAGGGCCGAGGCGCCTGGCGAGGGCGCCCGCTCATTCATTGGCACGGCCGGCCGCGCGCAACGGGCTCCCGGGGCGCAGGCCGCGCCGGGGTCGGGCTGGGGCCGGTCGTGCCCGCGCCGCCCCCGGGCTCCCCAGGACACTCGGTCTCTCGACAGGGCCCGTGAGTCCCGTGGCTACGTCTGCAGCCAACTCGGGCGTTGCGGCTCGTCATCCTGTATGTGCGTGCTTGCCGTCGCGTGTTCCGAGTCTTGCCTGCTCTCAAATGGCCTGAAACTCATTTTGACACGTGTGTTAAAGTTGAAGAGATTCGACTGTTGGTGCCGCTGCGTCTGGCAGGGACTTTGAGTCTGCACTTGGCTGTTCAGAGCCTTGCTTCCGCTCCGGTCCCAGCTGTGCACGCTGGGTCCTCGGGCACACCAGACTTTCGGTGACCAGGAAAGTGGGATTGTAGGTCCTTGGATAATAATGAGGATTAGATAAGGATTGGTAATGAGGATTAAGGCGAAAAAGACCCTTGCTGGTACGAAGCAGACCCCCCAATTGTAGCTGTTTATATGTAAATATTAGTATGTCCCAGCTGGCTTAGGTAATAGCCAACTACTTTTCAAAGAATTTTCTTCTCCTGAACCTGAGAGGCCGACAGTTAGCATGTGAAGTCCTCTGGCAAGTTCCTTGGTCTGGGAAGTGATGTTCTCAGCAGGTCAAACTTTTCAGTGCGGATACCTGAGAAGGGTTTTGGTTCCCATCCTGTGTCACAGCAGCTGTCACTCACTCCTTGTTTAAACAATGTGGAGCAGCGGCTGAAAGTGACAAACTCGGAATTTGCAGGAAAAAGGATGTGTGGGAAGACCTCTAACTTTTACCTTTTTTTCCCCAAGAAGCAGTGCAAAATTTCCTTTTTATAGCCCTTTCCTTCCTTGGCCTGCTGATATTCTTTTCAGTAGTCTCTTGGTTGAAGTTTGTTTTTTTTTTTACAAGTTAATATTTAATTTGGTTTCTTTAGTTTCATTTTTAAGTAAAGCTGATTGACCTGTGAAACTGGAGGGAAACACTTAGACACTTAGGTTGCTTATCCCTGTTCTGTTTCTCTGCTCCCAGGATCTCAAAAGCCCTAGGAAATATTTTCGAGAAAGTTAGCATTATTGAAAACACTTGTTCTTACCATAACTGTAACAGCAACAACTGTTAGGGTGAAAGGCCGTGGAAGATGTTTTTCTGCAGCAGCGTAGTGTAGCAAGATCATGGGCGTGGAAATCCAAGAGACCTATGGCTGGCTGAGTGGTAACTTTTTAGTTGTGTTACTTTGAGCAAATGACTTAATCTCTCTGGGATTTTTGTGGGACTTTCAATAAAAGGTAGGGAAAAAAATAATAGAAATCGTACATCTATTAAAACAAAGTGGAATACAAATGAAAAGTTTTTTTAAAGTGATACTTTGAGGTGAGATTTTTTTCGTTTCTTTTTTTTTTTTTTTTTGAGACAGAGTCTCTGTTGCCCGGCTAGAGTGAGTGCCGTGGCGTCAGCCTAGCTCACAGCAACCTCAAACTCCTGGGCTCAAGCGATCCTCCTGCCTCAGCCTCCCAAGTAGCTGAGACTACAGGCATGTGCCACCATGCCCGGCTAATTTTTTCTATATATTTTAAGTTGTCCAGCTAATATCCTTCTATTTTTAGAGCCAGAGTCTTACTCTTGCTCAGGCTGGTCTTGAACTCCTGACCTTGAGGGATCCTCCCGCCTCGGCCTCCCAGAGTGCTAGGATTACAGGTGTGAGCCATTACGCCCGATGCCCGGCCCAGGTGAGATTCTTTTTTTTAAAGCAAAAATTACTCTGAACTTTAGACTACTTTATACTAAAGAGTAAGTAGCTTACTGATCTTTATGTAAGTCTCTGATGAGTGAATGGAAGCCCTTATCCAGAACTGCTACTGTCAGACATTTATTCAATTCATTTATTTGCCAAACATTAAGTAAGTAACTACTATATCCCAGCCACTGTGCTAGGTGCTAGTATGATGCTAAGGTGGAGGAAACACTGTTACTGCCTTTGAGGCTTGTGGTCCAGTAGAAAGAGACCCCACGATTAGATTATGGGAGGGGGGAAAAAGGAATCAAAACGGAGAGAGCTGGTGAGTTGGGAGGACACAGAAAGTAACTTGGCCACCACAGACTGCCTGCTACTGATCAGGGGGTTCCAGTGGCTTTCTGAGCAGTCTTGAATTGGGGCTCCTAAGTTCTTATGGGGCTGAACAGCACAAATCTGCCTTGCTTCATGCAATAAAAATATCATAGACAAGTGTAGCCCTTGAGTTTGAATAATCTTAAACGTTCTAAAGCAAGGTTGTTTAAATGAAATCTGAAGGGTCAATGCAGCTCAACCAAGATTTATTTGCTACGAACAAAGCACTATGGTAGATTTTTAAGAGGATTATCACTGCGTGAATGTCCTAATTTATTGGTTTTCCTCATAGTAGTGTGTTACTTATGGAAATTTAAAAGTATAGGTAAAACAAATCATCTATAATCCCACCACCCAGAAAAATCACTTAACATTATATTCTTTCACTTTTCTTTTCTTTTTTTTTTTTTTTTACCCCTGTGCATTTATTTTATTTTATTTTTTTTCCTAAGTGTAAGAACATGTTCTGTAATACCCTGTGCATTTATAACACAAACAACTAACATGCATTGATCGTACTGTGGGCCAGGCCACATGCCGGTGGCTTTCTACACAGAATCTCCTGTAATCCCCACCCCAACCCTGTGAGGCGGGGGACTCTCATTAACCCCTCTTACTGAGGAGAAAACTGTTTTAGGGAAATTAAGTAACTTTTATTTTTTTATTTTTTTTTTGAGACAGAGTCTCACTCTGTTGCTCCGGGTAGAGTGCCGTGGCGTCAGCCTAGCTCACAGCAACCTCCAACTCCTGGGCCCAAGCGATCCTCCTGCCTCAGCTTTCCAAGTAGCTGGGACTACAGACACGCGCCACCATGCCTGGCTAATTTTTTCTATATTAATTGTTTGGCTAATTTCTTTCTATTTTTAGTAGAGACGGGGCCTTGCTCTTGCTCAGGCTGGTCTTGAACTCCTGAGCTCAAGCAGTCCTCCCACCTCAGCCTCCCAGAGTGCTAGGATTATAGGCATGAGCCACCGCGCCCAGCCTAAGTAACTTTTCTGCAGTTGTGCAGCTAGAAGATTATTCTGTACAAAACTGGGTTGGTTCTTTACATGCTATTTTCTCTTTATTTGAGACAGAGTTTCACTCTCTTGCCTGGGTTAGAGTGCTGTGGTATCAGCCTAGCTCACAGCAACCTCAAACTCCTGGGCTCAAGCGATCCTCCTGCCTCAACCCCCCCAAGTAGCTGGGACCACAGGCATGTGCCACCATGCTCGGCTAATTGTTTCTATATAATTTTAGTTGGCCAATTAATTTCTTTCTATCTTTAGTAGAGACGGGGTCTCGCTCTTACTCAGGCTGGTCTCTAACTCCTGAGCTCAAATAATCCACCCTCCTCAGCCTCCCAGAGTGCAAGGATTACAGGTGTGAGCCACCACACCTGGCCATTACATGTTATTGTCTAACTTTTGTTTCCCACCCAGCTATGGGCATCTATCTGTATGTCCCTAAAATACTCTTACACTAAACCAATCCCCTATTGTTGAACAGTTAGTTCCCAGTTTTCACTATTTTAAGCAGCTTTCAGTTATTTTGCATTTTAAAAAGTAAAATGTAATATTTAATTTAGCTGCCTTTTTTTCTTTATAATATTTAGAATTCGAACTTTCTCCTTTCTCTGTAATTTAAAGTTTAAGAGTTTTAATTTCTGTGTTCCTTTAGTATGTCTCATAAGTTTTCAGCAGTAGGATCAGGCTTGTCTGTGGAGCTGCATGGTGGGGCAGTAGCTCATCATGCCAGGGGTTCACCTGAGTAATGGGAACATATAAGCTCTCTCTCTCTCTGTTTTTTTTTTTTTTTGAGACAGAGTCTCACTCTGTTGCCCGGACTAGAGTGCTGTGGTGTCAGCCTAGCTCACAGCAACCTCAAACTCTTGGGCTCAAGCAATCCTCCTGCCTCAGCCTCCCAAGTAGCTGGGACTACAGGCATGTACCACCATGCCCGGCTAACTTTTTCTATATATATTAGTTGGCCAATTAATTTCTTTCTGTTTATAGTAGAGACAGGGTCTCGCCCTTACTCAGGCTGGTCTGAACTCCTGGGCTCAAACAATCCTCCCGCCTCAGCCTCCCAGAGTGCTAGGATTACAGGTGTGAGCCACCACACCCAGCCTAAGCTTTCTTAACGTACTGTTTGTGTTTGTATTTTTATTATTAGCCATGAAGCTAAACTTCTCCTGT